GTTGCAATTTTTACCTGATTCTCTATATTCTATGAAATTTTATCGTAAATTTTATAGGGAATGTCCAAACAATATAGGGGTTAAAAATGACGTCGAAAGGGGGTAGGGTGTCATTTTACAACATTCTATAAAGTTTCAGCCTCTGGAAAACCTGACATAGACCTAGAAAATGTTTAAACAGGCTTCAGAGAAATAAAATACATCCAGAGTACTTGTGTTTAAATACCAAGACAGATTCAGCAAAAAAAGAGACATTGGGTTAATGTCGATTTGAAGTCGGGGTGTCCAAAGTCAGTCACGTCGAAAAGTGACGTTGATCATTGGTTGACATTGAACACCGGCAAGAAAATTATGTGGCAAAATCAAGCGAGGATTTTTTCCTATGTATAGATTTAATAATTACAATATTAATGCATTGAAATCAGGTGTTCATGACATTGTAAAGTCATATAAACAAGACGGATTTAGGTCTTTACTTTCTCAAGAGAATCTCATCAAGATAAGTGTATTGAGGCAGAGGGAGCGGGCATGGAGAAATAATGACGTTGTCGGACGTCATAAAAATAAACGGCGACAGCGCCGGGTGATCATATAATGCTCTTTTTATTTGGAAAATTATCAACATATCAAGCTGAAATTTTCAACACTTCTTAAACTTTTGTTGTTTTATGTTCCCTACAAATTTTGTAATCAACAACTACATAGTATTAATTTTATCGCATCAGTCCACGAACTTTTTGATAACCCCTCGTATATATATCTATTATGTTATGTTTATAGTATAGTTGATATATATTTCTTTTACAACTAAGCTTTGGAGTGCCTATGAAAATTAGGAGTTTCTGAACCATGGACACGTACATGAGTGCGTTTTCAATAATATCATATGGGACACTTAAAACATTGTTATCCCACTGTGGAACGTGGAGACCGGTCCTTTGGATGAGACCGTATAAACCGAGGTCCCGTGTCGCAGTAGGTGCTGGCACGAAAAAGACCCCTCACTGCTCAATGGCCGTAAGTGCCGAGTATAGGACAAAATTTGCAGCTCTCCACCGGCAAGTGGTGGCGTCTCCATATGAGTGAAAAATTCTCGAGAGGGACGCTAAACATACAAACAAACAAAACATTGTTAACATACTAGTATACGAACATTCCAGTGAGTGGCGTGTCAAGTAGTCACCAATATTTTTTTTCATTGTTAAGTAAACTTCTGATTGTGAAACATAATTTTTCAGGCGTTAGCCACTCACTATTAGCAATAGCATAATTCATTTATAAGTTCAGTCGGGTAAAACTTGTCAAAAAATGGTTTCCATTTGCTGAATGAACATACTTTCCTTACGACGAATTAATCAGCATTCTCGAGTGAAAACTTCAAATGATAGATCTTGTTATTCTTTGATGAATTGGTTGTCAATTCGGTTAATTAGTTGACTAAGGTGTGAAACCATACGATATCGCAGAATTTGCCATTTACCAGTATTGCTTGCTCATTGCATATAGCATATAAATTCCTTATCTTTGTTAAGGTAAAGAGACACGTAGAAAGAAGTTGTTAATTAGTTAAAATTTCTACGTATCTTTTGCATGCAAAAACAATTTCCATAGGTAAAATCGCAAGGTAAATATTAGTTACCTTGACCATAAATTAGGTCAAGATATTTTCAGCTACATGTATGTGAAGTAAGAAAGCCTTAACACAAACCGTTCAAAAGTAATGGCCAAGGTTAAAGATTTTCAAAAGAAAGTCAAACTCCTAGGTCAATGACGAAGGATCAAAGTGATTGGTATCCAAAGGAAGGGCCCCCGGGCTTGTCACAAGGAATAGACATGTTGAACATGGCCGTAGTAATCCGGGGGCACGGGGGCCTTCCTTCTTAAGGAAGGTCTTGTCACAAGGAATACACATGTGAAGTTTGAAAGCCCAAGCACCAACTGTTCAAAAGTTATAGCCAAGGTTAAAGTCATAAAATTTTGCAAAAGTGGGTCAAACTCCAAGGCCAAGGTCAAAGAGTCAAATATGATGGTATTTAAAGAAAGGTCTTGTCACAAGGAATACACATATGAAATATGAAAGTCATAGCTCCAACCAATCAAAAGTTATGGGTAAGAATAAAGTTTTTGCGGACAAACAGACAGACTGACAGACGGACGGACGGACAGGACAAAAACTATATCCCCCCGAATCTTCGATACAGGGCCAGAAAAAAAAACAACCAAACAATAGTGAAGTCGCTCAAACTCTATTCAGTGTAGAGGAATACTAAATAAAACAGTTTCCTTTATTAATCATAAAAACTATATTGCTTGTGGAACCACATAGGTCCATCTAATTAGAATCATTTGTAAACACAACATGTTTGACTGACGTTTTTAGCTCTCTTTTAATGCCAAATCATTACGAATATTTTGACAATTATAAATTTAAAAAGATATATTCATAAACATAATTATAAGGACTTAATAATTAATATTTCCGTTGGTCACAAATAGTTTTTAGGTGACATGAAAGCGATCTTTAATGAGCCAAGGTCACGATCTAAGTTATTGCACAGAGGAATTTTAATTCACTGCATAATTTAAAGCTTCTTCATCAACGGATTGTTGATTTTGTCATTCACTCATAATTAGACAATAACCACATGTTTAATAATTGATTGGCATTATTTTACATTACTTACGTATTACTTACGTGAAAACTCCGAAATCTACGAAAACCTTTTGGGATCAATCTGTGGAGAAATTTTTTTAAAAGGCCTTATTACGCCTTTCCAAAAGGAGATATCATGCCTTTCCAAAAGGCTTTCAAAAGGCCTTATTACGCATATGTTTTGACACTTTGATAATTATTAAAACAAATCGCTTATATTTTAAACTGTTTAAGGACATTATGATAGCCAGAGCAATCAATAATTGAATAAACAGTATCTAATTGTAAACAATTTCACAAGCACCTGACGTGTGAGATTAACCCCCCCCCCCCTTTCAATTATTTCATAATAAGCTCACAAAAATATCGGCTGGCAAATTTTTAATGCTTACTAAAATAAAAACTGACTGCATGTACAACCCAATTTATGAATTCGATTGACGGGTAAATCACACATTTTGGAATTAGGTTTCCTTATTTATTTAATATAGTCATGCTATTCACGCGTTACGTTGCATTAATGTTGATGTTACTTTTTAAATAGATTTAAGTAAAAATGTTTTTTAATTATAAAAACGCCATGTACCAGTGAAGTTTGAAATAAAATTTTACTTTCAGAAATAAATATTAAATCAAATAAAAGTTTTAATTTTTTGTGATACCTATCCGATTCTCAAAATCGCCTATGAAATAGTAATAAATCAAATGACTTAAGATTATACTTTCTATTTATATCAATATAAATATATATATATATATATATATATATATATATATATATATATATATATATATATATATATATATATATATATATATATATATATATATATATATATATTATAAACATATCATTCCTATCAACGTTCATCTCCCACGCGGGAGACAAGCCTCTGGATGACGTCGCACACTTCCACGTACACTGATCCGCCTTTAAAATATTGAAAGTAGTCATAATACAGATTTTTACTGATAAATTAAAAATATGTCGTAAAGACAACCGAATTAAATAAGAAAGCATTTTATTGTTTAAATATTGCACAATCCTTGACAATTTCATAATTGTGACGTCATTGGTGCTTTACTTCTGAGTGGTGTGAACAATATAAATTTCTGCAACACGAAAGTAATCGTAAACAATTGCACCTCCATAAAAATTATTAAAAGCAAACAATAAATCATTCCTGTAATTGCATCAGTTGTGTCTCTCGTGAAAAAATGCATTTGGAAAAAAAATAATGAGTCAATCTTGATCAAATCATTTCCAAAACAAACAAATACATCATATTTTCTACCTGAGATTCGTCCATCAAGCTAATCAATCAAAACAAAACTCTGCAAATGAGACTTTTGGAATTGAACATGTGTGAACTTAGAACGATTCGTTTAATAACCTATTTGATGTACTTATGTATGAAGGTAAGTACTCACACTTATCACAGCTTTTATGGCTTTGTCAACCAAACGAAAGACAGCTCGTCGTATAGGGTAGAGATCATCTTCAAGGCTGAATGCCTGTTGTTAACCAAAGATGAAGCTTATAAAATCAGTAAAAATACTGCAAAAGAAACACCAAACAAGGGAAAAAACCAGATTCATGCGCGTAAAAGATAATTCTTACAATGCTTATCAGAAACACTGACATTCTCAAAATATCCTTACTCACTCAAAACTTTCCTGTCTCAAAAAATATATCCTCATATTCTCATGTTTAAAATCCAATTATCTTGAAATTAACTACCCTTGTGTAACACTTACCGAAACCCCAGTCTGGACATCAATCCCACTGACGCAATGTAAGAGCAGTTCTATACATAATTCAAATCATTTTATTTACATGTAATGAAATACACATTTCTTACAATTTTATATCATCGTTTATTATTTCAGATTTTTAAAAAAAAAATGAAAAGAGTCAAAAAAAAAAAAGAAGACAAATTTTCAAGCAAAATATAGAGGTCAAGAGTACTTTGGTATGTTATATGATCAATATCGGATAATATTTTTAACATAATTTTCATTGTTAAATCTTCACAAAAGTGACAGATCCATGAACAGTAAATTACGTTAAGCATTACTAATTCAACCTACAATTCGTACTATAAAACGCATCAAAGGGCAGATATTTACCGTACTTTGTCAAAATATCACACCCACCTAAATCTTTCAACTGATGTTTTTAACATTCATACCAGAAGTTACAAATTCATAAGTAAGTATCTACCACATAGAATTACAGCTGTAAGCCACACCTCAGGGTCATAATCTGCCATCTACATCTACCAAAGGACTACAGCTGTACAGCAGATCTCATGGTTAAAATCTGCAATGTAACGAAGGACAAGAGATGCACACCAAACCTCAGGGTCATAATCTGCCATCTACCAAAGGACTACAGCTGAACACACCTCGAGGTCATAGTCTCATATCTACCAAAGGACTACAGCTGAACACACCTCAGGGTCATAATCTCCCATCTGCCAAAGGACTACAGCTGAACACACCTCAGGGTCATAATCTCCCATCTGCCAAAGGACTACAGCTGAACACACCTCAGGGTCATAATCTCCCATCTACCAAAGGACTACAGCTGAACAGACCTCAGGGTCATAATCTCCCATCTACCAAAGGACTACAGCTGAACACACCTCAGGGCCATAATCTCCCATCTACCAAAGGACTACAGCTGAACACATCTCAAGGTCATAATCTCCCATCTACCAAAGGACTACAGCTGAACACACCTCAAGGTCATAATCTCACATCTATCAAAGGACTACAGCTGAACACACCTCAAGGTCATAATCTCCCATCTACCAAAGGACTACAGCTGAACACACCTCAGGGTCATAATCTCACATCTATCAAAGGACTACAGCTGAACACACCTCAAGGTCATAATCTCTCATCTACCAAAAGACTACAGCTGAACACACCTCAGGGTCATAATCTCACATCTATCAAAGGACTACAGCTGAACACACCTCAAGGTCATAATCTCTCATCTACCAAAAGACTACAGCTGAACACACCTCAGGGTCATAATCTACCAAAGGACTACACCCTATACACCTCACCTCAGGGTCATAATCTACCAAAAGACTATACCCTATACACCTCACCTCAGGGTCATAATCTCCCTTATACCAAAGAACTACACCCTATACACCTCACCTCAGGGTCATAATCTGGCATCTACCAAAGGACTACAGCTGAACACACCTCAGGGTCATAATCTGCTACCTACCAAGGAACTACAGCTGCAAGCCACACCTCAGGGTCATAATCTGCCATATACCAAAGGACTACAGATGAACACACCGCGGAGTCATTATCTGCCATCTTCCAAAGCTGTGCACCACACCCCAGAGTCATAATCTGCCATCTACCAAAGTACTACAGCTGGACACCACACCTCATGGTCATAATCTGTCTTCTACCAAAGAGCTACACCTGTACACTTCACTTCAAGGTCATAATCTGCCATCTACCAAAGGACTTCTGCTGTACTTTACACCTCAAAGTCATAATCTGCCATCTACCAAAGGATTACAGCTGTACACTTCACCTCATGGTCATAATCTCCCATCTATCAAAGGACTACAACTGCACGCCACATATAATGGTCATAGTATGCTTTGGTCCCACAACTTTTAGAAATTTTTACAAAATTCACATTAGGGTGAATTAAAAAAAAATGACCAAACGCATATTTATCAACCCACACTAAAAATACAGGCAATGAAAATAGATTTCTATGTCTCAGCATATGTCTTTAGATAGTGTCTAAATACCTGCCAAATATCTCGTTGATATCTCGATTAACAAAAAAGTTATGCCCAAAAATGATGCTAAAATTGTCAGGAGTGCAACACCTTTTTGTGACATTTTGAAATTTCAATATTTTTTAGAGATCTGTGAAATAAAAAAACAATGCTTCATGTTAAAAATAAAGACTTTCCTGATAATATTCAAAGTATTGAGCTTTAAATGTGGACTGTCATAACTTTTGTTTAATCAAGTTGTGGTCATGGCTGATGTTTAAAAAAAGGTTATACCATGTCAGGAGTGCAACAGAAAAAATGTAGTGTTGCCAATAAAACATCAGCTGTAAAATTCTGATAGAAAATTAAGACAAAATAGAATTTTGGAAGTGTAAAATACTAACTGATATACATTTTAAAACTTGAAAATGTTATATAAATCACAAGCAGCATTAATGAGAGTCAAGTATATGTGCATACCCAAAATTGTCAGGAGTGCAACATTTGATGTTTTGCTCCCAAGCATGAAAAAACTATTATCATTATATGATTTTCTGATTTTTATTTTGGAAAATAAAGACACAAAGAACATTTTTACCAAATAGATTGATCAATTACAGGATCTGTCTGTGCTTCAGATCCATATTTCTATGGTCAGGAGTGCAACACATTTTTTTTAAAGATTCAAGTTGTGTGTCGAAAAGACTTCTATTCATGCTTAGAAGTATTCATTAATTAATAATGATCTTTTTGTATAATTTAATGCTAAATTATTGATAGTTTTATTAATAAAAATCCTTCCTTTTTCAATTTTATCAATTAAGATGTGTTTTTATCTTTTTTATGATTTTTTTAATGAACGTTAAAAATAAACACACTAAAACATTGTCATTAAATTCAAGTAATTCCTCCTCAACTTCACTGAAACAACAGAACAAGTTCTTATGTAATTTTCACTTCACAATTCTACTTTAAAGGCCCCAATGCTTTTGGTCAGGAGTGCAACAAATATGTTAGAATTATAAATCATACAATAAGAATAAAAATAAAGAAAAAGTGATGAGTAGAATTGTCTGGTGGGTTACTGTGTTTGTTCTCTAAAGGAAAATATGCTTTAAAATATATTTTATCTTTTAAATATACATTTAAGCTAGTTTTTTGGTATAAAATAGAGTATAATTCCAGATAAAATGCAAATTTTAAATACTTTTATCTGTTTTAATTATGAAGTATTGGACTATAAATATTGCACAATTTCATTATCACTTGATGTTGCCAACACTTTATGAATTTTTTTTTGTTCTATGGTTTTAATTTTCAATTTTACTGCAGTCAGGAGTGCAACAAAACTGCTTTATAAATACCAATGCTTTTTAACTATCTTTACTAAAAAATAAGTTGAAAAAAATGCTTGATACTATTTGATGTTCAAAACACTATGTCTATTAACAAATTACAGAAATTTTACAGTCAATTCAGGGAATAGTTTTCATCATTTCACATATATTTTGAATAAAATTTATTTATATTACACTTTGCAAATAATCATGTTTTAAGGTCTTCAAAATATGAAAAACCTGCTGTAAACGATGAAAAAAATCAACACGACAAATTGATTTACAAAGTAAGAATGGGTTATTGTGTGTTATAATTTTTAAAACAATTTTAAATAAAATACATATCAGATGTCAGGAGTGCAACACAATAATGTAACATAGGGTCACTTCAAAATCTTGTATTTTTTGTAAGAGAACTCGTTTATAACAATTCTTTTTAGGCTTAGATTTAAAGAATTGACTTGAACGGACAAAAAAGTGAATTTTGTGGAATTTTATTGCTTCATATTTTTTTCATATTAAAACTTTTCGAACCAGAATTGAAAAAATAATGTAAAATAACAATCAAAAAGCCAATTTTTTGTCACATGTACAAGAGAAGATACTCATTCAAGGTCAAGATTTAATCATTTATACCCCTTTTACCATTTTTAAGGATAAAAAACTATAATTTCTTGTGATTATGTATTTTAGAAAGTCTTTAAGGTGTAATGATATTTTCTTTTTTCAAAAGAAATTTTACTAATAAAAATACTGAAACTTTTTAATCCAATTGTCTATTCTGTTGCCACTTCAGGATTTTAAACTAGAAAGCATGTGCAATATGATGATACAAGTGAAAAATATGGTATATGTAGTTGAATTTTGCCAAAAAAAATCAGTTTGGTGGTCATTTTTTTTTTTAATTCACCCATTAACATCTCTGAAAAGCTGAGTCTAAAGTAAGGTTAAGCCCCCGTCCCCCGCTACTTTAAAATCACTACTAATGACCTGTACACCAGAAGAACAAATTTCCTTTGTAACAGTCAAAACTTCTAAAACGACTTCAAGTAACTTGTCAATGTTTTTATCTCATTTTTTTCTTCAATTTTTTTTGTTTCAAATATTCATTCATCCAAATTTTTAAAAAACATTTTTTGGTTGCTTTTTCCCTCAAAATCTGTCCTTTATTAAACTGAGAAAGCCAAATCTTGTCTGGAATTTGATATTTTGGACATTGAACTTTTAAAAATCTGGATGTTAATTTTGAATGCGTGAATTAGAAACAAATTTTTGAAATATTACGAGATTTGAATGTTAGAAGTTTGAAGTATACATCTAAAATTATCAATAGAAAAGGGCATTGGGGCTTAGATTATTAAGCGAACGCTTTCGAAACATTCTATAAACCGAAATAATTTTTATAGATAGTCAAAGCATTAAGTGATATACATGTATGGCCTCTTGGGTAACAAATCCCAGTTTATAAATACACGTATCCTCCATGAAAAATTCACATACCTCCAAATTTTCAAAATGTAGAGCAATTCCCCTCCTAAGAAGAAAGAAAACTGCACCTAAGTTTCCTTTATTGAAGGAAAAAGACTATTTTCACTTTGCTGCAACAGTAAAGAATCTACACACAATGAAGTGACACTACTTATAGAGAATAAATTTATTATTGACCATTGTACAGACGTTTATTAAAATCATTATCGAAAGTTCAAAACCTATCATTATTTATACAAGATATTGATTATCAATTAAGAATTCTAGACTTTAAAAGAAAATGCCCAAATACCTTCTTACACTCATTAAACCGCAAAACACGTTAACAACCGAGAGAATAAATTTTCAAAGACCTTTTGTAAATCGATAACTTGATAAATTCCCAATCTCTGTAATTCAAATGACAAAAGTATGAGAGAAATTTATTAATCATTTATTGATATGAGTGATCTATGACAAAAAACAAGGAGTAGGAAAAGTATCAGTGAACCCGTCAACCCTCTGTCAGGGCCGTCAAGAGATTACAAACGTAACTGCCTACTAAGTGATTAATTAACAATATCTAATTATTTTAACAAAAAATGATGTAACTAAATTCTATTCGAGTCTCAGATTAACACATTTATTTTGCATCTTTTTTTTATACAGTGAACAAATAAAAAATAATTCTAGATATTTTTCTAAAAAATGTGCGTGTTTTGCTGGAAGAAATGGCAAGGCTTTTTACTATTACTTTCTGTGTTTACTAAAAAGCGTTTACAAAATTTTGATCAAAGAACATTCTAGCTCCCTCTTTCTCTGACAAGCAACCACATAAGGAAAAACGACAGTTATCTGTTAAAACAAAGAAAAGGTCAATCGCAGACAACAGAAGAAAACCATGTCCAGATCTGTTTATTTGACAGTATCCTTACATTGTTTCAGAAATGGACTGGGTCTACACTAGAAGAAGAATTTTGGTGTTGATCACTTGTATCCGAGTCGATAATTGTGAGTTATCTTTTATATCAGTCCCCTACTGGTGAAACTTGAGAAAACTATAGGATTCCTCCTCGGCTGTCTGTCTGTCACCCTGACCTACTTGGTTTTCCGATTTTTTTTTTCTAAATTGATCTGATTTTTGTTATGTGAGTAAACCTTGATAGATTTGATATCGAACTTGCATTTCGTTTTGATTATTTTTGTCGGAATTACGGCCTTTTAAAGGGGACCAGATTACACTTGCTGTTAGGGGACTAGTATTGCTTATGCAAAACTCTCTGAATGCTTTAACACATGGTATTCTAATTGAATACTCGTACTGTTTGGTTAGTGAAACATAAGTTTCAAGTAAATCCAAATTACTTCTGTTCGGTGTCTTGAACGAGTTTTCAATGAATGACGAAACCAGAAATGACTTTTATTAATTAGTTCGAGTAAACAAAAACATAACGGAATCAAGGTATTCTTAACAAGGATGTTAATGGCTAATTCACTCTAAACGAAATTTGTTTGACCGTATAAATTTATGACAGGCAATCACTTCTTACCTGCAGATGCTATTGAAATGAATATAAAACAAGGTATTTTACCTAATTAAGAGAGCAGCAATTATTAAT